GCGCCAGTAATAACAATGTACGGATTTTTAATGGGCAATTATTGCTTCATTCCATTGTATGGGATTTAATCCGTATTTTTAACGTCGATATGGAGAGAATTTCATTCCTTTTATACGAATATTGTGTAAATTCCATATTCACCTTATTTTTTAATATAAATTCACTGTGTGTAAATACCTATTGATTAAAAAAAAAACGAATATCCCTCTTTATTATCTCAGCCAATTACCCACATACTAATTTAGGAGATAATTTTGAGCCTGCCAGCGTCATGTTTTTGATTTATGTATTTCGTTTGGAATTACCATCAAATATAATACTTTTTTGGAAATAATTTTTACTTTCCTTCTATATCTAAAGAAATATATTAGATTGATAATTTTCGAAACTAAAATTAATGTGAAATTTTAAGTGGACTTTAAAATAGTAGAATTTGGATTCAAATTTATCTATTTATTTTTGCGTCAAGCGTGTAGTATAACTTGCTTGTTTACTTGTCACTAAATAGTTTAACCTTAAAATAAGCTATAGTTTCTGCTACAGCAAATTTTATTTTTATTGAATTTTATTATTACTGAATACAACATATCTCCGTTTTTCAAATGAGATACTGTTACGAAAGAAACCCGTACTCCGCCTCGGTACGACGCCTATGGATTCTAGTATATACGGTGATGATGACTCATTGTCGGTGCCGACGGCGGAGAAATGCCTGGAAGCGGAAGTCGCGATGGGCAATCCAGAAAGATCTCGTCTCCGGAACTTCTAGAAGGGAAGTCTGGCTTTAAATGGAGACCCTTTTCTTTTTATTAAGTATTTTTTATAATAGCTATCGATTTTTTACTTTTTTAGGAGATACACCAACATATTGAAAACGAGAAAAAAAGAGTCATTAGAATTTTTGTATATTAAACACAGCAAAGCGCATACTCCTATTTACCTCTCCATAAATTGTTGCAAGACAGATTTAAAAAAAACATTATTGTGATTTTTTGTGAACCCTTGCTTTGCTACAATGACGTTACATCGGAATTCCAAAAATAAACTATGGTTATTAAATAATATAAAACACAGTGGTTACTTTCATCTGTTCTCGACGTTTTATGACCCTGAGTGCGTTTCCGTCTGTCTGTCGTCTCTGTCGATTTTTATTAGACAGATAATTCTCGAAACCATTGGACCAACTGTTGTCAAATATCGTGTAGATGGTAACTAACCGAAATTTATTCAGTCGTCTCCATCAACAATTTGATAACCTCCCCTCATTTTTTTTTTGAATAAACGCCTTTTAAATTTTATAAAATAACATGCTGTTATAGTTGTGGGTTATGAATCTGTCTTCATTTTTTACCTTCAACATCAAAATTTTCGCAAAATATCCAAACTGTATAAACAACCTTTTATAATTGACGGTGAATACAACGATTTCGCCTCATGTTTTTTCTACAGTGTTACTGCCATTATTTATATTTTTTTATGTGTAGAAGTTATCACACATAAAATGTCACAAAATTTGTTGGACTGTACTTCAGGGGCGAGGGAAGTTCCGTCGAAATAACCTTTGACCAATTTTCTTCAATTCGCTAAGATTTTCATTTTAGTCAGTGTACAGTTGACAGTTTGATGCAGTCTGTAGTTTGGTCGTCGCACTATTATACAGGGTGACCCACTAAGCTCGCGGTTCTCAATTTCTCATTAACTATTACAGATAGAAAAGGTCTGGGACTAAAGTTGTACAGTTCTTTGAGGACCATGTATTGAAATTATTTTCAAGTTTACAGTGTTTTGTTTTTAAGGCGTAATATACAATTTAGTTTTTTCAAATAGATGACTATATTTTTTATATATTCTGCATTTACTTTTTCCGCTTCTAGAACTTCGCAAATAAACCATTGTTTATTTTCTAAATTCAGTTGCGACGTTGCCACGTTATTCCACCTTTTTTGATTTTTTTAACAATGTAAGGGTTTACAAAAAATCTCAGTGGCGTTATTTGTAAGATTTGCGTTGCGTTACTTTATGGAGAGATACACAAAGGACGCCCTTTGTTATGGTATTAATTAAATGAAAATTTAATAAGCAGAGTGTTTAAAAAATATTAAACTTTTCACTTTTCAAATCTAGATACATATTTCTGTTTTTCAAATAGAACACCCTGTATTTTATTATTTTATTTTTTGTTCTGTTTCTTTCAATATGTCGGCGTATCCCTTAATAAGTAAAAAATCTCAATAACTGTCAATTTTAAATATAGAAAATACTCAACAAAAAAGAAAGGGAACAAAACAGGATGTTCTATTTGAAAAAACTGAAATATCGATATTGGAACACGGTAAAATTTTAGAATTTTTTATAAACACTCAGGTTACTCTGTATATTAAAAACTCAATTTTGTTTACACCACAAAAATTGGGATAAGTTGGCAACGTCGCATTAGAATTTCGAAGATAAACAATGATAATAAAGCCTAAGAAGAGGTCAATTAGTATATATAAAAATATATAGGGTATTCCATTTGAAAAAACTAAGTTTTGTGGTACGCCTTAAAGCAGAACACTCTGTATAGTTAAAAACAATTTTGATCTATGGTCCTCACAGACCTGTACAACATCAGTTTTTCACGTTTTTTTTCCTATTTCTAATAGTTAATTATTTAATGAGATATCTAGGAGTGCGCGCTTAGTGACTCACCCTGTATACCCATAAAGTGATTTTTTTATTGCAGAATGAATTGATAAATCGATTACGTTGTTTGAAAGTGTATATTTACACTACCATTTTTGTGAAGGCGGTGAAACATATCCAAAAAAGTGTTTATTTAATATACAGGTGGGTCAATAAACGCGCGTTTTTTTTTGATGTCTCATTGGTCATTAAGGATATAAATAATATTGAAGGCTAACTTTGTACGATTTTTTTAAGAAATATAAACTAAAATTATAATAAATGCAGTTTTTTAGAAGAAATTGCCATTGTAAATTGTTTACTTCGGGAAGGAAAAATCTAAAATTTATAAGTTCTAAATATTCATAGTTAAGAAAACTGAAAAATGTCCGAAACATATAATGTTTAGGTTAACCAACAGAAAGAGTATAAAAATAGATTAAAATTCAGTCTTGAAAACAGGATGTTCTATGTGAATAAAATGACATATAGCTATTAGCAAATAATATTAATTTGAAAAATATAATATTTTGTAAAGACTAAAAAGATGATTGAGTGATTTTAGGGTTTCATCTGCGAATTAAATAAAGACCTCTTAATTCACTAGAATTTTCCAATAGAAAAGTTAGCTGTAAAATAATCATTTCCCTAAAATCAAACGTTATGGTTAAAAGTGCTTCTCTGCTGGCTTATACTTCAAGAATTATTTTTATTTTTGTCAGTTGTGTGAAATAATTGTGGCCTATTTATATGACAAGACACCGTAAGACTTAATTGTTTTTGAAGCTTCCTATAATTCGTATTTATTTGTTTATGCGCCCTTAGTCTGCGGCATTGAAAGCCAAAACAATTTTTTTAAATAAAACAATCGATGTTTGTCATTTTTTTTGTATAGGTCGAATTTGGTGAATCTACTAACCTATCAAAGATCTTTTGTGATTTGCCAAAGGGAAATAATAAAGAATTTTGATTTTTAATAATGGTTTTTCAGTTTTCAATTTTACTTCACATTTAAAATTAAATTTTTATAGTTCGAACAAACTATTCTTCTCAATTTGTTTTGTATTTTCCATTAGATTTATTTACCCACTATTTAACAAACAAATAAACACAATTTTAAAAGAGGAGGTCTAAGCAGAGACGAACTCGTTTATATTCATAATGGACAATTATTGCACATCTCACTGCTTTAAATCGACATTTGTAACGTTGATTGAAAATGTAATTTTATTTTCCGCTTTATGGACGTTGTGGAATTAATGCTTGTCATTTTTCTTGATATTTGGCACAGCTTGTACTAGAGCATCTACAGCGGGAAACAACCTGATGATGAATGGATACAAGCAATTAGTTCGTCCCCGAATGCTGTTCCCGGTATTTATATCTTTAGGCCTGGAGTCATTACTTTCCGGGCAATTCGCACTTAAATCCCTAAATCAACAATTATCCACTGCTTTATTCCATTATTTACTTATCAACAAAATTAAGAACACGGTTAAAATATGCTAAAATTCTTTGCAACACTTGATTCAAACAGAAACTTTGGTAAGCGATTTTAAGGGTGTGTTTTGTAAATTTAGAATTTTTCCTTGAAGTGGGATCGTTACGTGTTTACTTAATAAGATTCTTGTTAAGACTTTGGTGCTGTTCTTTCTTTGTTGTAAAATTTTCTTCTAAGGATACTCAGCTGCTTTACTTGTGCAGTGGGCTTTCTTTATGGATGGTGTTTATTTAATAATTTCAGATTTGTCAAATTAAATTAGTTGCTAAATAACGGAGAAATAACTCTCACTGAATTCATTTAGAAACTAACTTTTTATTATTGTTATTCTTTTTGTTCCATAGTGTACTATATCTTAAGATAGGCGAGATATATATCTTGAGATTTTTTCAGCGATAGGTATGTAAATTGAGAGAACTCTTTTCTTGGGTTATGGCATATATTCTAAACTTTCAGTACTTCGTCGAGGCGCTCGTCAACATTTTTACGCGTTCTGTGTCCGCTCCCTCCTGCATTATTTGATATTGCCAAATAAACGTAAAATATTCATAAACTTAGCGCAAATACCAAATGTCATTGCGCACTTGTCTCCACTTTCATCAAAGTCGAAATTGACTCGCGCATTTTTCTTGTTCCGAAACGTTCGTAAGTTTCATTTATCGTCAATGTCTTGCCTTTTAAGTATCAAACGGAGACGGTAAAGGCTTTGAAATTGAAACTGAACATTGAAATGAAATATAGCGGCGCCCGGGAAAGAAAGAAACTGTTCTCTCGTATTTTCGTTCCTTATTTTGTTTAAGCCGAGCAAATAATTTTTTACGATAATTATTTCAGCCAAATCCCTCTTACCAGTTTGGATTCGACGTGAACGACGACCTCTACACCAACTACCAGAATCGCAAGGAACAAAGAGAAGGGAATAAAATTACGGGGAGCTATTCAGTCGTGGATTCTGATGGTTTTGTTAGAACAGTAACGTACACAGCCGATCCTAAAGAGGGCTTCAAAGCGGAGGTGAGGTTTACTATTTTGCGTATTACATGATATTTTACATATTGTATTCGTACGCAACGGCCTGTTCGATAGTAATTTTAGACAATGTTTGTCGTTATAAGGGCCCTACTATGGGAAAGTCAAAATCTCTAATTAATTTCTGAAAGCATTGTTCGATTTTATAGAGATCCACGCTTCGCGTTTAATTAAATTCAATGTAGAATTTTTTGTTTTGCAGATGCTTTTATTAAATATTCATCACTATTGTGTTTCCAGGTTACAAGGCAGCCTACGGACATAGTTGTCAAAATACCAAAACCAGATCCCCAATTTCAAAGGCAGCAATATGCGCAGGTTTGTCTAAATTCTATAGGTTTATGTTAACAAAGCTATGGATCAATCTATTCTTGTTTTCACGTTTCGAAATTTAGTACAAAACTATTGGTTTAATAATTTTCTACAATGACGTAAGCAGATCTGTGGTGGGGTTATACACATTCATATTTTTAGTTTTATTTTACACGGATTTTTAATGTAAATAGCTGATTTAAATATGTTACATGTAGATTAATTAAAGGGTTCCATTTCTTCCACAGACACTGTTGAATTGATGACCATATTTTTTTCTAATTTATTGGCGTTAGTTGAATCAGTGTGAACAAAGCAGGTTTAATTAAAAATTCATGCAATATCGAAAATTGCATTTTTATCAGAGCGAGCAAAATTTCTCAATACTCTTTGATCTGTCCCGATAAATTAGATTTTAATAAAAAAGAGGTAGGAAAGCAATTTTAATTAAATTATTTCTGGAATATATTAAAATGTTCTTTTGTTATTTCAGGCGGTTCCAGTTCAACAAAAAGATGACGGACAAGCACAAAGGTCAAATGTTATCCAATATCAGTTCCAGTAATAAATAAGGGATAAATGTTATAAATGTGGCACTTACGAGGAGGTGCCACTTCTAAAATCCATCACTGTTAATTTTTGTAACTAGTATTAAGTAAATAACTTTTTTACTGTCGTTAAGTTATGATGTTAGTAAATAAATTGGCCAATGAGCTATACTGCGTGTAGTTTTATTTATAACTTCGCATCAAACCACAAAAAAAGTATTAATATTTTCATAGTTCAAATTTTTTAGTTTATTTACTGATTATAAAGTGAGTCTGAAATTCGTTGTTATTATTTTGTTATTAAAAATGTACAGAAATAATTTCCTGTTTTAACTAAATTAGTCAGTAGATTTATCTCTTATTTGTAAAATGTTTTTATTAGTGACAATATTGTCCTACTATGTTTTACTTTTAATAAACGATCTATATTCAAAAATTTTTTGTTTTGTTCATTTTTCACCCGTGCAATAACTCCGAACGACATGACAAAAACAAGGGCTAATAGAGCTTTTAACGATCGGAATCAATAAATGATTCCAACAATAGACCTCTCTTCACTGATTTACTTCTATTTTTTAATAACGGTCAATAACGTGGATTGGGGTGGCGAGCTTTTATGAAAAAGTGGATAAAAGCATTTACCAGACCTCACAAGCGACAAACACGGAATTCTAATATCTCTTCATACACGTTAAATCCGTTCACGGCACTCACCATCAAGATTCACCAGCGAAAATGTCATATAAAGACTCTTTACGCGTTCATTATGTCGAAAAAAGGGAAATTGTTCGCTTTTGTCTTTTTTTTATAGTAACTTGTGTGAATGTAGATTTCTTGGGAGATTGGCCAATTTATTTATGAGTTTCTTCCCCCTTCTTTACAGAATGTTGGAATACAGTCATCTCTGGAGAGTGTCCTTCTCGTTCATAAATTTATACGAAGTTTCCATAAGAACCTGTGTGAATGCGAATCCCTAGAGGATCTGTTACATGTTCGCGACAGCTTTGCTCGAACGCATTAGCTACACATTTATTGCTTCAATTTTAACATTAGATAACGCGGAGACTTATGGCAGTGGCCTGTCAGTTTCTAGTAAAATGGTGCATTTATTATTTTTAATGAATGTTGGTCGTTTTTATGTGCAATAGGTAGTTATGGTAGATGTTTGACGGTGGTAGGCAGTTGAATTACCTGTAAAGGAAAACATATCGTAAGTGTGGAAGTCTATATGTGGTTGGAAATATTACCCGACAAAACCAAAAAGTTGGCTAATAAATTCCCTTACAATGTCTAATACGTTTTTTTGCACGATCGTATTAATTAAATTTAAATAATAAACGATTAGCCAAGTTACGTTCCATATAACGTATTTTACGTGAACGTCCACACTGCATTTTCCATGTTGCTATAGATATAACAGTTTTTTCTACGTTTTGCGTGCTGTACTTTCTGCGAAACATGGTTTCGCTAAAATAAAATTAGTGTACAACTGTAACGTATTTTTTAAGTTGTTTTGATACATTACGTTGTCATGGGTCTGTCATTTTTTTACAAACAAACTCCGCCACATTGAATTTGTGCATGTTTTGCTTCAAGAAAATTAATTATAATTATATTCTGAATACTGAGTGAAAGTGAGAGTGAGGATTATGAAAACATCGAATGAGAAACTGCATGGAAAATCGGTTGTGCTGCGGTGATCAAGAAATGATGCGACAAAAAGAAGTTACATGTTAATGAAAAAATGCTGTTAGTCTATTTCGTATATCGCAGCAAAAAACTAAAATCCCCAGGCACCTTGTGGTCGGAATATTCAATGTTGAATTGTACCAATTTCCTCAATAATTCGATCGATATTTCCAAGTATGCAACATTAATTGCCTTCCTTAAGAGAAAGATCTCAGGGTAGAAACCAAAAAAAATCCAAAATCTTTACCAAGGAAGATTTTAAAATTTTTGACGGAAGCAGCAGACAGTGAATAATTGGTTCAAAAGGTTAGTTGTTATTCAATTGTTAAATATTCTTTTAAATAAAATATTTTATTATGTTATGATTTGTTACCATCAAGTTGTTGGAAGAAATACTATTGGAAGTTGGCCATCAAAGATTGCCAAATGTTTAAATATGGAAAATTCATTTCATTATACTGGTCATGGGTTTCGAAGAAGCTCAGCAACACTTCTAGCTAATAAGGCTTAGACGTTTTAGGACTTGAAGGATGAGTTGCAGAATCATATGTTGTAGATTCTCTGCAAAGTAAAATAGAATTTGCCAAAAAAATTTTGCACGACGAGACATACAAGAACGTGAGGGAAGTTTCCAAGAACACCCCCAATCCTAGTATCTTACCAAATATTTCATCACCTCTTGCTGTACCTTCTACTTGAAGTTCTTACTTTATGTAAACATTGTATTTTCAATACATATTAATATTAATAAATAATTTTTCTATTCAGTATCAACTTAGCCCTGCATTATCGCCCATGAAAGACAAAAATCCTTACCAATCGCGCTAAAAATATTATGCGTCTATATGTGTAGTTTATTAATCCGCCTTAATAAGAATTGAGACATTTTGACGAGAAAGATATATTCTCGTCAAAATCTCAGTTTTTTACCCCAATTTTTGGAGAAAAATAGACTTGTACCATAGTAATTAAATTTCTAAGTTGTTTACAGAATTTCAATCTGTTCTTAAAATACATTTCCACAAAATTATATGAAACATTAATATTTTTTTAACGTTGATTTTTTTTGTTCCGTTTTTTAAATACCTCGAACGCCGTTAAATTGTCATGGTCACATTTGTTGCAATTATTACGTAAATAACTGGTCACTAAAACGTACCAATACAAAACTTATTTAACATGACTTCCAGGGTTTACAAATGGATTGCTTTTAAAAGATTTAAAATTTTAATAAAAAATTTAACATATGGTTATAATTGTGCTACGTCTTCTCATCTGAACACCCCTCTTTCTTTAACCCGGTAGTAGTACAACGGACTCGTTTACAAGCACAATTCTTAAAGTGACCACATCCTGATAAACGATCTCATCTTCTATTTGTCATCAGAGGTTGCCCCAACCTGCCTGTTGACATAGTTTTAGGAGTTTTTCGGTTGACTCGGTGTGGAGCGGACGTGTGCTGCTCGCTTGCCTGTTTTGCTTCAACATAAGAAGGTATTTTTACATCAAATATTTTGAATATTTTAAATATTTGGAATTAATTGAGTATGTGAGCCTGCCATTAGTGTCTCTGTGAATCAGAAACGTATAATTGTTGTACGTCTTTTGGCCATTGGTGGCATTCTCCGAAATCTGCTTTACGGTTATCTTTAAATTTTTTTTCTCTGATATCAGCACGTTAACTTATCGCGTTATCGCGTGTCCACTGAACTTTTTATGTATCAAATATGTCTGAACTCGATATACGGACGGGGGAGGATGATATTCCTTTACCTTGTAAGAAATGTAAAACCATGCCTGCGAGTGGTTATAGATGTATTCGTTGCAACTCATTAAGTCATCCTAGTTGCGTGAAACTTCTTAAGAATGTTAAATACATAGATAACTTTACTATTATCTGTTGTAGTGAAAACAATGATGCGAAAATAAAAAGTGCCGGTGTTGTTTTATCTATGGCCTCGCATCAGACTGGAAATATTTCTCCTATTAATAGCTGTTCTACCCAGAACTTTACACTTTCAGATGTTAAAAGCATAATTGAAACTGTAATTACTCCTCTTTGGCATGAAGTCGTTTCTCTTAGAAATGAGATAAAAATTTTAAGAAGTAGCAACATCGATCTTATTAATCTACTTGCTAAGGATATACCTAAAGGTACTAATGTCACTACTGATGCTGACAATACGTATTCACTAAATATTGGAAAGGAATATTGCAATGATTCTGAAAAAGGTAAAAATCCTAAAAAAGACAAGGAAGAATGGACTAAAGTAACTAGACGTCATAAAAATAAAAATAGGTCTGATAATATCAATTTGTTATCCGTTGAAGTACTTGAAAAAGACACCAATGCTCTTTCTTCCTTTGGTGTTGGCAATATAACTGATAAATTGCCTTCTCAAACCCAACAAGATAAAAATCTCAAATTTGATAATGTTAAGCTAAATCCTGCTCCTAAACGTGATAATTTCTCTTCCGAACACGAAAATTTTAACCCGAAAAATGAAAGAAATCTTCTAAATTTTCTAAATTTTCTAGGAACAACAATGTGTTGACTGGTGCCAGATCCAAAATAATTCCCTTAGAGAGGTCTTGTTGGATCTATGTTTCTAATCTTAGTCCTGATCAAACTACTGATGATATATCGGATGTCCTCAGTGAATTAGATCAAGATTCAAAGTTTGAAGTCGAAAAACCACCTCATCTAAATAGAAGGGAAACGTCTAGTGCCTTTACTATTAGAGCGCCTATTAGATTTCAAAAAACTCTTCTTGATCCAAATTTTTGGCCAGCAAATACGTATGTTAACCGATATTTTTTCTCGAAAAACAAAGAAAACCTTCCTCCTCAAACCTCACAGGTAACTACAATCTAAACGACTGTAAATCCTTAAATTCGTCTTCGAATCTACTACCTATAGAGTTTGCTCATATTAATGTACAGTCTTTGCGAAATAAATTTCATGAATTCAAAAATTATGTACTTGAAAATAATTTCACTGCAATTGCCGTTTCTGAAACGTGGCTCGATTGTAGTAATGATAACAATAGTTTTCTACTACCTAACTATAATTTTGTACGTAGAGATCGTTTAAATAGGGGAGGTGGTGTCGCCTTATATATTTCCTCTGCATTGAAATATTGCGTTCTTGATCCTCCTATTGATGATTCTTCAGGCTTAGAGTATTTGATTGTTAAATTGACTATTAAAAAACTGCATCTTGTCGTAGGGGTATTTTATAAACCTCCTCATATAAATTACTCATGTTTCTCGGTGTTAGAAGATGTTTTTAATTTTTTCAGCATCAATAATCTTTCTCACTACTTATTACTGGGTGACTTTAACATTGATTTGTTGACTTCAACTACTGCCAGTAAATTTTTACTTCACACAACGACCATTTACGGATGCGTTCAATTAATTAATTCTCCAACAAGAGTAACCATTCATAGCGAAACCCTGCTAGAACCTATATTTGTTAG